TCGGGGGTACCCCTCATAAGGACAGTCACGAGAATCATTGCTTTCACACAACAACTGTATTGAATGTAAAACAACTGTACTTTCAGTCGCCGTACGCTCTGAGCCGTGTTGTCGACCATAAACTGTGCGCTTTTGATGGCATCGATAGTTCAGATGTGGACGATATGTCGTCTATTAGTGCCGGACATGGACTCCAGCCAACCCGCGAACACGTCTACGAAAAGCCGTTTCCACCCAAATGGGTGTGAGGGTTGGGTTTTGCCGGTTTTTTTCTTGTAATATTACCGTACTCTGGGAATATTCCGATTATTTTTTGGAAATTATTTTCTTGGAATATATGTGGAACTTTTGGGAATTTGTGAAATACAAGTTTTTTTCAATTGTAGACACCGTTTACATGGATTTAATAATTTAATGTTTTTCTAATTTTGTGTTTAATTTTCATTAAATTAATTTTTCTTTTTACACTTTTTTCAATTGAAAAGCAAATGTGTTTGCATTTTGTGCCAAATATTTCTTATGATTATTTATTTGTATAAAACCCTCTAGCTCTATCTCATTTTTAAAGTATATTGTGTTTTCCACGTTCTTATATTATACAATATTATAATATTTACTTGATTATTAATATTAATATAATCATGTATGAAATTAAATTTTTATAAAGATCTATATATAAAAATGTGTAAATATTATATCAAAGTTTTCTCTATTTGTAAAAATAATTTTATTAAAAAAAACAATAAATTAAGCTCTTTTTAAATTAAATTTGCAAAATTTATTTCAATTTAACATTTGTGTTAAATTATTAAATAATTTATTATTTATATAAAATTAAATAAGGTAATAAATAATATTTCTATTTATATAGGGTAAGTAATTAAAATTAGGTAATTTAGACGTACGTAAAAATTTTCTGCAAATGAAAAACAAAGTCAGTTATTACATTTAATATATTTACATATAATATTGGATAGAATTTCGTACTAACCAAGGTAGAATAATAATAATAGCATAGTATATTTACTATGATAATTTATTTAATTCAAGTATTTAAACAAATATACATTTTAAATAATACAACCCAAAAACGTCTAGAAAAATAGCCACAAGTTTCCAAATTATTTGAAGATAACCACAACCAATGATAATAAAATAAACTATCTTTTTTTATAAAAATATTAGTTTGCTATCAGGTTCAAATATTTGTTAATCTTGATCATTAATTTAATATTAATCTACTAAACAATAATAAAACTAAAAAAACAAACAAAAAATTGCTCCGACCATTTGATTCCATGGGTATTTTATAGATAATAAATAATATTAACTATAATATTATAATATTTAAAACTACTGTTTGTAAGTAGAAACATAAACAATTTTTGTAAAAAGAATTTTATAACAAACATTACATTTACTAAGGGGTCAGTGATTTATTAAAATTTTGAATGTGGTGGCATATAACCATGGTTAATGCGATGGGAAAGGGATTCAATTGCCATTAAGATTAAAGTATCAGGTATGATTGATTTAAATTGCCTAAATAATATTAGTATACATTTATTTTAACTTAAACTTTCCACGTTCATGTGATACGAAAAATTATTTCATTTAATTAAAAATTATATTTAGTTTTACATTTTAAAAATTATTAAAAATTTAATATTTTGTTATTGAGTTGATTCCGTTTGTGTTATCTAGATAATAAATTATATTATCATTATTTGTAAAATATTAATTATTACAGTTTATTAACAAATAAATACTAAAATTTATGAGCACCAGAATTATAAAAATTGATTCAATAATTGATCATATAAAATTGTTTTAAAATAAAATAAAAATTTATCATAAATAATCAAGCATAAAATATTTACAAAATTATTTTTAATACTTCATCGTTTAGTTCATCACCAATTTTTAATTTATAATCTAGTTAGTAAATTATAAAAACTCTAATATTATAATATTAATTATTACAGCATTTAGCATATATTTTAGATTAAAAATGTTTGTTAATGGCCTTTATGTTACAATAATTTATTATATAAAACAATATAAATTAAACAAAAATTATTTTAATTACTAAATCTTTAAAATTAATAATATTCATTTATTTTACCAAGTATATCACCTAATTATTACATTATATTAACCATTGTATTAAAATATTAATAATTACAGTTTGTTACACATATATACTGTATATTACTACTATTTATATATTCAAACCCTACACCCCTTTCCCTAAACAATTAGCACCTGTACCCCCAAAACATGTCAATGAGTTCCTTCTGGTGAACACAACGTGGGCGCACATCCAACTGGACGCCTGGCATTCAAACGGCTGTCCCATCAAAGAGTTTCTCATACGATATCGAGTGACTAAATACGAGACCGAGTGGTCGGAAGTGTCGGCACAGGTTTGGCCCCAGGAGTCCAGCATTGAACTGCTGGGGCTGAGCCCCGGGCACTGGTATCAGCTCAACATTAAAGCGGTGAACGAGGCCGGAGCCGGCGAACACACCTATCACTTCGCTACGCTTACAGCTCAGGGAGGTATGGATTGGATTTTATCACTTTGTTTACAAAAATAAAATACCGCTGACTGTGCCAATTGAAATAGTAATCTATATGGATAACGTAATATATCATTACAATTAAAATTATACTACAGTAGTTATAATAAATTTATCAAATCGGTTATTTCGACCCCAATGTATATAAAATTTAAATTAATGGTTTATTAAACATTTCAAATCTAATTATTTTACAGTTGTTTTCAAATGCTTATACCATAACATTAATGCATATTTATCCACAATTTTCAGGCACAGTATCGCCGCTATCGGAAAGGGAGCCCCCATTAGGGGGGTTGGAGTCGATCACAATTGTGATACCTGTGATATGTTCGGTGATTGTGCTCACAGTTATACTC